ATGGGTGTTCCCAACCAGGTACCAACATCAGTTCTTTTTTCATCCGTGAAATACCAATTACAGGTACCGAGCCGTGCTGCTCTGGGAACAGTCTCAGTTTTCCAGACTTTCTGTAGAAATAATCCAATAATTATTTTAGAGGCGTGGTACTAAACATGACAATGTTTAGAGACAGGACAATTTGGTGCATATTGACCACGGTGTAGTGGTCACCAAGCTTGTGTGGGTCGTAATGATGAATCGTGGGCTATGTTTGCAAATGTGGCCACTTCACTGGTGTTTGCAAATGTGGCCACTTCACTGGTCGGGACAGCGCCGGCCTCGCTTCTTGCAGGTCGGTGTTCGATACCCGACGGTCCACGTTGTGGGGCACCATTCCTTCCCTCCGTCCTGCCCCAGCTACCCATTCTCCTCGCTTCCAATACCCATATATAGCCGTACTGGCTTAGCGCTTTCTCCTGATAATTATTTTTCCTTGCAAATTAAATATTTGCAATATATACCAACCTGGCCAATATACCAATACCAAATATATACGTAGAATTACTAAATAATGTACACAGTGTATTACTTGATCATAAGCTTATGTATCGCCAGTGACGAGTCTATGACCCTAAGCTTATTCAGGTCAATCAGTGTAATTACAACCTAATTGAATGATGTCAATGTGGCCGCGCTTATCATACACGATTTACGGGCTCCAAATATGTCATGGTGTAGGCACAACAGCCCAGACCAGCCTCTACGATGATAGTACTTATAGCGACTATTACGTCATACTCTTGGACTATAAAAACGTTCGTTATGTATTATTAATTTTTTATCATCTGGGATAAAAACGCTAAAAACAAACATTCCTTGGCATAATACAGCATGTACGTACACACACACACACACACACAATTTTTTCAGTGTCAGAGTAGTTAACAAATGGAATGCATTAGGCAGTGATGTGGTGGAGGCTGACTCCATACACAGTTTCAAATGTAGGTATGATAGTATATATCTAATATATTCTATAATTTCTACATTTCAAGCTGGCTACTCAGACTATCTTGAGCGTCTATGATGTTTGGTTACGATGGTGACAAGGAAGGTGGATTATTACAAGACAAACAGAATCAGAAATAGTGACAGAGAGAAACAGTAAAATATACAAAAGACAGAGACAGAAGGACAGAGACAAGAGAGACCGGGTCGACCCGGGCACCACCGGGAATCTTATACAGTCTAGTATAAATATATAGACCTCTAAATATATATATACCTCTTAAATATGTATAAACTTATAGACGACAATTACACCTCTGGTGCAAGTGTGGGGACCCGCTGCCTCATAGATGGAAATAGAGAATTCAGAGAAAATCATGTTGTCTCTGAATTCGTATTTGTTTGTTTCTCCTGCCTCCCATAATATATTTTATGATGTGTGATATTCTGACACATGAGAATATCAGCAGTAGTTGAGTATTGGCTTTGATGTAAGGTTGATGACCTTTCATCAGCAGGAAGGGTTATTATGACCACCACAATAGTTGACTGACTCACCAACAAGTATGCTTTAGTCCTGGACATAGTGCAGGGCTAAAGTATACTCTCAACATATACACAGAGAAGTGGGATACACGATTGGGTGTATATATTCCTTTGTGTTGGTTGGTATACGGTCCGCTGCTCTATCAAAGGCATCCGCCAGCTTCCCATCCACCTTTTGATGTTTAATGGTAATAGACAGTTGGTTTGGGTAACTCCGATTTCATGTGAGTAACTGATAGAAAAGTTGCAATGTGTGTAATTGTTACTAATCTGTTTTCACGGTGGGTTGAACTTCAGCGCCTAAACTCGCCTCAGAATCCAGCCTAGACAAGCCTTATGGTGAATCTACGTATGGAGTCGCCTTCGACTATTTCTTCCCAGTGTAGTTCCTGGTGAAGATATTTATCGCCAGCAGAACAAAGATAATATTGATGTTAATAAAGGGAAAAGCCACTCACAATGTGTCGACTACGCCTTACATAGCAAGACTACAATACCGATCCCTTCATGACAGAAATTAGAACTACCATTTCTGTGGGGTTGATATTTAATATATTTAGTATATTCATTTATTATGTGAATATGCCATATTCGTATAATATTCAAATTTAATATATTTGCTATATTACTTGAATGTGATTCTCGAGGGAACTTGTTTACTGAAAAATGGGTCTTGCGGCTTGGCTCGTGACTAATAATTATATTAATAAAATATATATATATATTTTTAATTTAAAACTGCAGAAATTCCTGCGCAATATTGCCGCATTATCACCTCTAGACACTAGACGAAAAATTTCTGATATTAAAATTTGCTTCATAATATTTTTTTTACGATGGTGAATTCACACGCAAAATGCACTCATTTCGTTTTATTAATATATACACGCACAAGCTCGCATGTATATTGAAAAACATGCACACAGGTTCATCTATTCTCGCTCAAAACACACGTAATTACACT